CACGTCTCGAATCCCAACGGTCGTCTCCCTTCCTTCCATCTCCTCCCCCAATGGCACACCATGTTATTACCCCGAAAACCAAGCCCCAAACTCAAAATTCCAAACTCTATATATATAAAACTACGCGCAGGGCCCTCTCTCATCTTCTCGCTGCTCTCTAGTGAGAGAAACACTTCAAAGAAAATGACCGCCATGTCCCCGATCTTCCCAATGCCGGAGACTCACCATTACAGTGACTACGGCTTCGATGCCCAGATCGATTATTTCCAGGTACACAAGAAAAAAAAATTAAGTTTCTTTTCCTCAAAATCATCAAGTGTTTAAATTTAACTCTCTATATATGACTAGGTCCTTGAAGAGGCGAGGCGACAGACTAAACGGGCCGCGATCGACCCGATCCATTTCAAGCTCTCGAAGCCCATTTCGAAGGCCCGAGACCGGCCCAAGCCCAACAAGCGAAGGAAATGGTGGAAGAGCGCGCTCGGCTTCCTCAAGAGCGCGAAGGGAGGCTCCTCCGGCGGGGTCACGCTTACCGCTACCGGACGGCGAGCGGACCGGTTCTGACGAACCCGTGTAGTGGGAGGAGCACGCCGTGTTGTGAAGCGTTAGGTCGGCGTCAGGGCGTTACGTCAGCGGAAGTTGGGGAAGTGTTCTTGGTGCCGTATGTAAGTTTAAGGGATGTTAACGTCGCCGGCGGTGACCGGATCTCGAGTCCGATGCCTATTTATCTCGTTACTTGAGTCCCGTCACCGCTGACCGTTGGTCTGTTGTTTGTTTGTATTGTGGTGAGGTTAAGATTGGCTCACCGGAAACGAGGTTTGAGTTAGTGGGCCGGGTTGTACGAGCGTGCTGCTCTGACCGGAAATAAGCGGGCTTTTAGGGTTGTGTTTTTTTTAATACCTTTAGCAGGCTTTTTAATATTTCATACAAAGCAAGGTTTATTCATGCTGTGTGGGTAGGCATCTGATGGTGGTGTTAGAATGTGATCCTAATTATGGTAATTATAGTTTGGAATATGAATTATGATTGTAATTGTGGTAGAAAACTAGGATTAATTATTGGAAAAATTGCTTCTAGACCCCAAAATCCAACTTTCAATGTGCCCCAGCCCCCCAACTTTCAACAATGTGCTGCCGCCCATTTTTTTTGAAAAAATTATGTCCAGGCCCCTCTCCTCAAGCTCCAATGCAAGCTCTTCAAAAATCCTGATTTTACCCCTCCCCTACACCCTCTCCTCCTCCTCCTCCGTTCCCTCCTCCACTGCACCTCCCGCTGCACCTCCCCCTACACCTCCCTCCTCCTCCTCCGGTCCCCCTCTGCCCCCTTCCTCGCTCCGCTGCCGGCGCCGTCCCGAGGAACTTCGCGTGGCCGACAGCGATCATGGTTATTATATTAACAACTATGGTTATTATATTACCATGTTAACTCTTACAGCTAACATGTTAACTCTTACTGTTAACATGTTAATTTTAGGGAGTTAACATGTTAACTCCCTAAGAGTTAACATGTTAACAGTAAGAGTTAACATGTTAGCTGTAAGAGTTAACATGTTAACCCTAAGAGTTAACATGTTAGCCCTAAACATCCGCTGATATGAGAAATAGGAGGGTAAAATTGAGATTTAAGCCAGCTGTCATGTCTAATCATGAACTAGTATGTATAATCATCTGTTGGCATGAGCTGGAATCATGATGGAGGGGCATGGATACAATTTTTTCAAAAACAAGGGGTTGTAGCATATTTAAAAAAAATGGGGGGCTGAAGCACATTGAAATTTGGATTTTAGGACCTAGAAGTAATTTTCCCTTAATTATTTCATTACACGTGCTAATGTTAAATTCATAGCTTAAATGGATCCTTTCATTGATGGCAATTTATTAGGATTTGGATCCTCTCCACTACAAAAAAGTAGTGGAGAGACCACTGCTTTTAATCTTAATCGTTGATTATTTAGTAGGCGGTTATGATACAATCTAAATCTAACACTTACCATACCCCGTGTATTGCACTCATTCTTAATTTGCACTAAAAGAAAAAATCACAACCATTAACTAGATAATCAATGGCCGTGATTATGTAGTGGTCCCTCCACTGTTTTTTTGGTAGTGGAGAGGATCCGAATCCAATTTATTAACCTATTGCCCACAAGAAATTATTATCGGAGTGAGGCTGTTCGTATCCTCTGGAATTAGCTTTTTTTCAAACTTCCCTATAAAACTACTACTAGTATGCACACCGTGCATAGCATGGTCTCCATATTTTTATTTCCGCTATAGTAATTCTGGATGCAACACAACAGAACTATATCTTACGTCACCGAAAGGATCATCCCTTCTCTCACCATTTTTTATCTCCGCTACAGTAATTCTAGATGCAACACAACAGAACTATATCTTACGTCACCGAAAGGATCGTCCTTCTCCTCTCGCCGACTTCCCCTCCCCGCCGGCCTTGCTCTTGGCCCTCTTGGCTTCAAACTGATCGGACAGCGCCTTCGCCCTCGCCTTCTCCGCCCCAGACCTGTGGATGCTCTCCATAAGCACCCTCTTGTTCTTGAAGGCGCTGCCCTTCGCCTTCATGTACATATCGCGATACGTGTGCCTGTCGATCTTCTCGTCGTCGCGACATTTCCTCAAGAACCGCCTGAGGACCCGCATTCTCCTCATCCACAGGGTCTTGGTCGGGAGCCTGGCCTCTCTCGTACCCTTTCGCTTGCCTATATGTATATATATAGAAAAGCAAACTATTAAAGCAGTTCAAATTGGGATCGATATATGTGGGTATTGATTCTATCTGCAGAGAAAAGATACCGTATCCAGCGTGCCGCCCCTTTCGCTTGGCCTCCATCGCTCGACGAGCACGAGAACGGGAGTGGATCTTCATGGGTTTTCTAACGATGAGCCCACCCTCCACTAGCTTCCTAATACTTTGCCCTGCGCGCGTTTCAAATTTAATGTATATTGTAATCAAACAGTTACGAGTGGAAATTAGAACTAAATTAAGAAATTAAGGGATTTAATTTGAGGGGTTAATTAGGATCAAATAATTACTGGAATTGGCCGCGGAGATCTCCACGGCTTCGTTGGGGTCGATTGCCCTTTCCACACTTGAGGACGCTCGAGGCGAGCCTCTTCTGTAGATTCAGAGAAACCATCGTGATCTTCTTCCTTCGAACTCGGTTAGGGTTTCGGTGCTTCGGCGATGGGGGTTTTATATATAGGATTAGGGTTTTCTTGGGACGCAAGTTTGGGTTTTTTTTTTTTTTTTGCGAAATTTTGGTGATAGTGGTAGTTTAGTTGCTTGCCAACCAAGTTTCGCGCCTAGTTAGTTTCTCTAATTTAAGGGTTTTTTTTGTAAAACAAATTAAAGTTCGGGGAGCAGTACTTGGACCCGCAGCCTGCAACTGATAAAACTCATGGTCCATGGGCCGTATAGAACTGCAGACTAAACATGGTCCATGGGCTGTATCTAGCTCAAACTCAGCCACGCGTGCTTGTGTGATGCACGTGACAGTCGACGCCGTATCAAATAATTAGTTTCTTCTAAAATTTTTTATATAAATCAACTAGCACTGCACGTGCAAACGAACTTGCGACCGATATTAAAACATAATTATATAAATTTTATGCAAAAATGACCATTTTAAAACTCAAAAGTATTGCATACATTTTAAAGAGGAGAGTTTTTTTAAAGAAAGACCGTTTTTAAAATATAATTAGGAAAATCGACCTTTTTCTTAAATAATGTACCAAATTGACCTTTGTTTTGCCTCGTCATCAAAGCTAGCTAAAAAGATGTCGATTTTGAAAAATATTATCTTTGAAATACACTTGACTAGTAATCCGTTGCAATTAGTCTCGTTAATTAAAATTTACAACCATGCATTCTCTGCTCCGATTTTCTTCTACGTCTCTCTCCTCTCTCTCATCCAATTCCCCAACCACAGCCCTTGAGCCTCCCTCGACCACCACCGTC